ACATTTTATAAAAAAGTTATCCATAAAATTTGTTAAGTAGCAATAATACGAGTTTTAAACTATGTTTTAATCTTTTTATATATATTTGTCTGTGCGATTTTGATGATTTGTTTTGTGTGTGTTCAAGTGGATTCAAGACTGGCTAAACCATTACAATTCGGTCCACTATAAAATGTTTTTTCGTTTATGACGTGTGAATCGGAAAACGTCTGTCGGGTGCGCTGGTTACTAATAAAAGTGCTTTATTTTCAGACTATCATCAATTTATTTCTTTTTATTAAATTAAAACTCTTTTCAGTAGATAAATATCTGAAAATGAATATCAAAAATGAGATACTAATTCTAATCATTACCTTACTTTTTACTAACAGCAACAACATTACATCTGTTTAATGTGTAGTTGTTGGTAGGGTTTTTTAATCATTCAATTAATATGTTGATTAATATAAGGATTAAAAATATGAAAGGATTAAAAGATTTAAGAAAAACATTTTTCTAAATTCTAACACAGTAATCGTTTCGTATAGTGAGTAGACAAAAAAAAGAAGAAAATTGAGTAATACAAAAATAAGTTATATATTCAGTGTAGAAATTAAGTTAAACTATACTACTCATTTTTATTACTTTACTAGCTAAGACCCGCGGTGTTACCCGCGTTTGTTGTTATAACCGCGGGCAACTCCGCGGGGCGAAGCTAGTCTAAAAAAAGTAGCCTAAGTTACTCCTTATGTCATCAGCTATCTGCCAGTGAAAGTCCCGTCGAAACCGGTCCAGCCGTTCCAGAGATTACCCGGAACAAACCGACAGACAGAGAGACAAAAATTGTAAAAAAAAATATTTTGGCATATGTACCATGTAAACATACATATGCATTTAGTAAAAAGCGGTTATTTTAATATTACAAACATACACTCCAATTTTATTTATTTTGTATGTATAGATAAACACAATCAATTAAAAACACATAAAAGAATTGATATAAGTAAACTATGAAGATACAAAACCTTAACTAATATTTAGATTTTGTAAATGTTTTATATTTTAAAAAAATTACAAAATCTAAATATTAACCATGAAAATAGGATAATAATATTAAGAACCCAGAAACATGGAAAAATAAATGTCTTTTCTGTTGTCTGACGACAAGGTAACTATTATCGAAACCCATTGAGATCACTTCAAGCTATATCTGTCGTCTTTTTCGAACAATATGATTATAAAAGGGACACATACACTCTGAATGGAAAATGGCTAGTGATCTTTAATAGTATCCTATAGGGCAGTGGCTTGTGAAGATTGCGCGCGCACAATTTTCAGGGCGCAGGACGCTTTCCCACAAGAACTATAAATATTTAGACAGGCACAGACCTCAAAACCTAGACGTTTCTATGAATTTACTCAGAAACTATGTTCAATTGAACTTGAATTGGTGTCATCAAGACCAGTATTATAATAATATATAATAAAAAAGTATATATAATATAAATATTTTACAATGTTGATTTCTGACTAAAAATAAACAACATAAATTTAATAGTCAAATAATATTTTAGTTTTAGGTACTAATATTAGTATCGGCCTTAGCATAAAAATTAAAATATTATCCACTGCCCTGTCTGATTTTTACAAAGACTTCATATACTTCGGTTGCCGATAGGGACCGACGTATCACGACACTTCAGGGTTTGCCGGCGTCCATTGCGGAACGCACCCCTTACTTGAAACCTTCAGTATTATTCAAAGTATCTCAAGAGTAAAATTCAAAGTATATTAAAAGTGTTTCCCGATCGTCTCCGGCGAGGTGAGTATTCTTTCTATGAAATTAGGCACGTGAGCACTGTCACGGCTTCTTGCGATCTAACTCGGAACATTCTAGCGTTCATGTTCAATAACACCATTTACCGACAGTCCACTTAGTAGTTACTCAACATCCAGTATTCTAAATATTGATCGTGTACACTAATAATTTATGTATTCATTTATATTGTGTTAGCCGCTTATTGTTGTCAATTATACTAGATTGTAAGCACCGAAGGGACTTAAATAAATTATATTGACCAGATCACGTGTAGAAAGTATGTAGTTTGTACCGTGAATATAATGGAACAACATTAGTTTACTTTAAATTTAGCAATAGTGCGTTTATATTGAATGATTAAGTCATTATTTATGTATAATACAGCAAGTTTCTAATATACCATTTTAGAGTTCAAAATTTTCCCTCTACAATGTCGTATCAGTCAATACAATATTAACTTCAATTAAGATGATTGATTCTGAAGGCTTTGTTAATTTGCTCGATAGCAATATTTATTGGAGTGGTTATATTTTCGTCATTGTCCATACAAATAATTAGAGAAACTGAATTGAACGCACTTTACTAGAATATTGCGCTGACGATGTAAACATGACGTTTGCAGAAGTCTCATAAATAAGAACGTCTCGCCTCTATGATCTAATGTTCCTTTATGTAAATAGACTTCAGTATTTTATTACTGGCGCATCTTATACCCGAAACTCAACAGTTCAATACTATATTTACATATATAATTTTGTTGGGGCCACAAACTTGAAGTTTTGGCAGGTGATACTTTTTTTTGAAAGACAACTCCTGCACTAGTAATATCTCCAGTGTCACGCAGGACTTTGTAAACATATATGGAGACTGACACAAAGAACACTCAGAACAACAATTTGTGAATTACACGATGTGTTGTCCCATGTGGGGATCGTGAGTGTTGTACTCAGCGCAATAGGAAGCGGCGATTTGACCGCTTAAACTACTACACCATCTGCGCAGTTTTGATGTTGTAGGCACCTACTAAAAATAATGTTTAGCAATTTTAAACCTAAGGGTAAAATAAGAGACTTATAAATACGAAACATGAAATAATCACGCGCACCAAGCCTCTTGCAATAGCTAGTTATTTATATTTATGAAATAAATTATCTTAGAGATTTAGCTAAAATTGACCATATCTATCTGTTCCTATTTTACGATATCTTCTGTAATTCTTTATACCCCGTTTTAAACAAAAATGGCTCACGAAACAATATATATCATATTTGAAACATTAATTGTTTGTTTGTAGAACAATTGCACTAAGCTACTTTTTTTAATCTAAATTAGAAAATTGGTGAAAATGGGTACATGACTTGTCATCTACCAAAGTCTATAAAATTACAGTTAGTGTCAAGACATTGGTGAATAAAAAAGTTATTCAGTAGACCGAGAGTCGACAACCAGGCGATTACTATTATTGTAATCAACTAATATTTTAGATGATCACATGTGGCGACTGTGCGTTTATCTGTTCATATCTTCAAACGCTAATTATGCATTGATCCTTGTGACAATCCATTTTATGAAATAATAATATCATTTTTCATGAACGGACGGACACATCATGCAGTGATTAGTTAAAAGATTTGGCCATGACATAATTATATCATATCTTAAATCCTCTGCTGCAATATCACAAAGAAGCAGAATTAATATTCTTTTCACTTAGAAATCACCTATTAACCCTTTATGTAGGAAGTTACGTAATAAAGGAAAATGAATGTGTTAATCAGTATAAAAGCTGTTTTTATTACAAGTAGGGTATCTAAGCATTAAGTTCATTGGGTGTTAAGAGATTGTTAATTTGGAGAGTGAGTCAATGAGATCAAGCCCGTGTAGGAAGGTATTCATACAATTGGACTATTTGGCAGATCCGCCGACACACTGACGCCTACGACAAATTACTTTTTTTCCTAGCTATCAGTTAAACTACTCTGAAATATTGTACATAATGGTAATTTCCTAGTTATATGACATTCATATATCATATATAAGTAGCACTCGTTAGTCTAAAACCAGTTCCTGTAACTGCTAGTATATAGGTATCCATTTTGTATATTTATTCTCTCTGATTCACTTTTTTTTGGGGAAATTGTGTTCGTTAATAGTTTTTAATGTTACTCATCTATGTAGTATTGATGATTCAGAAATTAAGCCTTATATTAAGAAAAGATTATCATTTATACCGAATTTCAAAAAAGGATAGGCTGTCAAAATATTGAAGTTTAATAGTGTCGAAAAGGCTTTTGGCCTTAATTTGAACACCGATTAAAATTAAATGCAGTTAAGCCTAACTATGCAATAATTTGACGAAGGTGTACAAATTTAAAATTTTCGATATAAGTCAAAAAATATTTTTGATGTATTTGTTTATTTAGGTCAAATGCCTCCTTCCAATGTAACTGAAAAGTTGATGAACTTTTTTTTATTGAATTTGATAGGTAGTTATTACAGCATGTGAAGAAAGGTAAGGGTTTTTACACGTTTGATATGTGAATGTGACGACGTATAGTTAAAATTATCCAATGATGTTATGCAATTGTATATTAATAATTAAAAGTAAATATGCTGAATACAGCTCACTGTGAATATTATAACAAAACATACTTGTTTTATTTTAACTATAGGACTTGCGTCATACTTTGAAAGATAATACGAACAAAAAGCCAATGGAAAAAAAACGATGAAGAATAGAAAAATAATTTATTTTGTATCATTTTTTCGTATCATTAATATTATTAATTCCTATTTTACTTGTAATCATTACGTTCAGAATTTTACAATTGCAATGATAAGTTTACTGGTTGTTATTGAACTGAGGTTCTACAAACTTTCCTTACAATAATTTTATAATGAAAAACACACATAAAATAACCATTTTATCGTTATGGAAATATACCGCAGTGTAATTTGCCGCTCATTATCACACTTTAATAACATTTTAAGGAGGTAAAATAGGATCACCGCACTTGGAATCCGACGCAAGTCATGAAATTCTTGTCCTAAAATTTCATCCGGTTTGTCTCCGCCAATTACGTATATTCAGTTCCAACGTAAAGAAGCGTATTTTTACATGACTTTCTTGAAAAGTCGTCCAACAAAATGGCAAGTTGCCATTTATATTTCAATATTTGTGTTCGTCATCCAGTTTGCGAAGCTACACAATTCTTTGGGGGAAAAATTCAGGGGGTTGTGGGTCGGCTTGTGGCGGCGGTGTGGGTGGAATTTCATGCTGAGGTTTTAGTAGCCACGGGTTATTCGAAGTTTGTTGTGACACGTCGCTTCTTTTTTGCCCACCGACTGACGGTGTTAGATGTAACTGTGGCAGTTGACCCTTCGGGCACACGGGAGGTCTGTCGGCTTTAGGTTGCATATTGTCTTCTAGAAAGAAAAATAAAAGCGTATATTAGTTAACATCAAATGTTTATTATCGATATCGTCGTGGGAATAATGTTGTAAAATAATTTTCATATGACAGGTGTTGATGTATTACGTTGGAATGATAAACACGTCGTCCAGTTGAATTTAGTAAAGCACTTGTAGTGTCAATATCATTCTTTACAACTGTATTTATGTACAAAATTCCTAACATAAGATATTTGCAATACCGTAATAGTATTAGGTATGAGCTCTGCCTGAAACTCTTAAGAAACTGAACTTCAATAAATGAGGTTTTAATTTAGAGTTCTATAATTTAAAAATGTATACTGATTAGAAAGTATTTTACAATAAAATCACAATCATAAAATATTAAGGATCGTCTAATAATGAAAATTTAATACAGTACTTACTGTCTATCCTTATGTTAATGTTTTCCAACTGAGCCGTGATATCAAGATCGCTAACAAACATGAATATTGTGAAATGTATATAACGTTTATGAACACCACACAGCGTGGGTTGACTGTTTGATACTAAATGTGCTGTAGTTAGATTTGCCGCGGGTTTTATATCGATGCTGAGTCACATTTGGCAACAGAAACTCTCCATCTTGACCACGTCACTTGGCCGCTGACGCTTTGTGTTATGACGGTGAGGCGATTTCCTCGCTAGTTCTTACCACGTCTATACGTCTGTGCGTACAATAAGTATTCATTCGATAAATATATAAATGTGCTATATTTATTAGTTATTTTAGTATTGCACTAATTTGAGTTGCTAATAGAGGAAGGTTAGATAATAACCACTAGCAGTAGTACTTTTTAACCGATGAGTAGTACAATTGCCTTCATGATACATAGAAAAAGCAATAGCAATTAAGTTATAGTAATAGTCTCACGATAAAAAAATTACGCGATTTTGCCTTTGACTTGTACTTAAAATAGGTTCAAATTCATAGCGAAGAATCCAATTATATATTTGAAGCTGATACTTTTAAATAAATAGCAATTAGCAAGTCTTCGACTTATTAAAAATATAATACTCGTTCATATATATCAAATAAGAAATATAAAAAAAAACTTGGTAAAGCGTGTGAGTACAAATCCTTTTCTTTATGAAATATGTAGGTACACAACTGAGGGGATTCTGGATGGGATCTAACCTGAAATGAAAAAAGAAGATTCATTTAAACAATACTTTAAAAGCAAGTGGCCTTGTGAGCATATGGTGGCCCGTGACATATTTGTTCATTATTCCTTTCTTGAGTCCTCACACTACTGCAAAGATTCACTGTGAAGAATTGCAAATAATGATGTCGCGTTAACTACCAAACTACGTAGACTTATCCACTGCGACAGAACATTACGATGTTTTCATTTTCCATTACAATGCTCTTCTTTACAACAGAGATTTTTAAACCGTGAAATCTCTTTGTTAGCAAAAAATGTCATCCATGTTGAAAGAAGATACTCGTACAAGCTAAATTCTCAACTCCTCTTTCTCTATCATGTGTTCAGGGCTACCACGTTTTATTTCTTCGTCACCATAAAGTTGATTAGCCGACAATAGTTTAATAATTCAGTCCGCCTTAGACAAAACAGCTATAAGGTGTATAAGGCATTTCAAAACGTATGAGGACACAAAGAAACTTCTTGAAATTGTCCTCAACATCATCAACATTGTCACAACACATCTCCTGCCAGAAACATTTAGCTTAGCTGGAGAAATTTACAAAAGTAGGTAATTTATTAAATAGAAAATGTCAATTAAACGGGCAAATATAAAAGTCAGTTATTTTTGTAGCATGATGGTTGCATCATTTTACCGTGTTTTGATACCGTAAATACTATAAAATTAATTGCAACTGTAAATAGTGACCATGAGTTGTTATCTACAGGTTCCTGTCTCAATTTTTCCATGTATTGCATATCGGCAATGTCTTCTGTAACAACAGACGTCATCGTGGTCCTAATTACTTCAATCTATAAGTATATAAAATTAGGTGGGCTTATTTACGTTTCAAAAACTGACAAAGTTCTGCCCCAAATGAGCTCAAATTTTAACACGACATTTTTTGTTATCTAATTTTTGCAACCATCATGTGCCACAGCGAAGCGTGGCAGGGTACATCTAGTAAATGATAAAATAAAAAAGGAAACAAACCATGTCAAGGTCGATTAGTTAATCATTTTTACTCCAGTAAATTAAAATGATTGTAGATAGATGTAGTATACTATACATTCCCATTCTTACAATATCAATACATCTATCTCCCGCGATAATAGTACTACACTATCTATAAACCTATATCTAAGTATTTCAATATTGTTTTACATAAGCTATGTAGACATGCGTTTAATACTTCTTGTTTGACTAACCTTAAAAATATCATCGTGCAGTGCATAGTGAGCGTTTCATATCAATATATGTATACGAGTATCTTTCTCTGATAAGAAATGTTTTATTTGTATATATTCACGTCGTAAATCTTATCTTTACTGTTACAATCGTGAGGCTTAATATCTTTTGCGTATTTTGTAATATTCCAAAGAATATCAAGTGGTGGTACCAGTTGTAACTGGCAAATACGTAAGAAGCATAGTTAAAGTAGTATCAAATAACACCGCCATGATGAAATGACGTCAATGGTATATTACCTATTACTTTTTATGTTGTAGTGTACCTATCTAGGTACACTACAAATAAAGATGAAACCATAGGGAACGGCTGCTTACAAAATTACTGTATTTTAAAAACGTTTTCGTTCTTATCGATTTTACAAAGTAGGTACAGAAATTTATAAACCCCACAAGATTTAATTTATACAATGAATTCCAATTACATCGATACAATGAAAATTGGCAAGATGACCATTATTTACACGTTGTTTCCTGATTTAGCCATGAGTATAGACTAGCAACAAACTGTTAACAAAAAGGCAATCAAACTGTAGTAAAACACATATTCCTAAGTAAAGCACGAGTGACAAACACGTGAAAACAATAAACTTACGTACACTTGCACGATAATATATAACTCAGGTAACCTTCAGGTTAATGCACATTGGGAAATAGTAGGTAAGAAAGTATAATCACTTCGTCGAAGGTCGGGCCCTCCCAGTGTAGGCGACTCCCATGGGAGTGCCGACATGACGTTACTGTATATTGCCTAATCACTTCCCATCTAGGAACACGCTTTTACTGCGTGTTAAATTTGTTACGAAGTTTTAGAGAATAGTTTCGAGAATAATAAAAAATAATAATATCTCTTTAAGATCAACTTAATGTATCCACTGTTGTGTTATTTCAGAGTGTTCAAGATGTTGAGTATTAGAACGAGAGACATTTGCTGATTGACTGACTGATTCTGGCTTTATATGTGTTTATAGGTTCTGAATACTTATTTTCTGTATTTAATTAGCCACTATTTGTTAGAGTCTTGCAATACCGTTATTATATTTTACTACGAAAAGTAGTGTATAGTAAGAGCTATATTTTCGGCGTAATAAATAAATATATTTGAAATAATTTCATTACATAAGATAGGTAGTGATTGTTGTTAAAACTGTAAGGTATCAAATAGTTACAATATGTTTAAAACAATGTGATCGTCGGTTGTCAAAAAAAAACCTCATAGAAATACCTACCGTACAAAACTCCAAATCACATCTAATATTAGACAGCTAGTAAAAGGAAAACTAAAATCTTAATGATAAAATAGTTTTGTTTTACTATTGAGTAAGTGAGGATAACGTTGAAAGAACAAAAAGTATTAGTTAATATTGGGGACCTCATGCATTTATTTTTTTTATTGTTGAGGGGGTAAAAAACCCCTTAGGATCTTCTGCTTCTAGAGGACTCAGGAGCCAGGAGTACCTATGTGCCTCAGGAGTACTCTGGGAGGACCCGGACCATGTGATTTCAGGTCCTCCCAGTAACGACACCGCGCCTAATCCTGATTAGGCGCGGTGTCGTTACTGGGAGGACCAGCATAGGGCCAGCCCTATGCTAGGGGAAAAGACTTCCTCCCTCAATCGCGGCGGTCGGGTTGCGTCTTAATGCCATCAGACCGCTGTCCTATTCCCTACCGCAGCAATTAATATGCCACCAGAGGTCCTTGTGCATTTAATTGAAATTTCTTTGTTCAAAAAACATGACATTGACATAGCTGTCAGAAATGTAATTTTTCATGTCGAATTGTGTCGACAGACACGAATAAAGATTCAATTTGTAATTCATTAAGTTGTATACTGTTGGTTATAAATAAATACGTATAAATATGAAATTAGTTTGATGATGTCATCGGCGTATTTCCAGAGTAAACAGAATTTTATTTTTAACATCGTCGTTTATTGTTTAGATAGAAATTTGAAATTTCAATTTCATGGTTATGAACGTGAATATCGAAAACTACTTTTTTACATTTTATTTAATGTTTCATGGCTCTTATGAACACCTGTTTCTAACACTAGAATCCGCGTCAATGAATAATAGTTATTTAAATCGACGATATTGTTCATCGATTTTATCATCACACAGTAGCTGTGTCCTAAAAGTAAAAACTGGCCAAGTGTGCGTCATTATGAGCGCAATGTAGGGTACACTATCTGTTTTAAACAAGTAATAAATTAAATTAAGTACTTTGCCTAAGGATTTTATTTTTGTACCGAATGTTCCAAAGTCAAGTTTAGCTTTTAAGAGGGAATCATGTGAATCGAATAAAAATTTGCTCTTAAAAGTTTAATATTTCGCAGACGGACTTTATAAGTCGAAATAAATTAATACAAATACTTGTCTGCAATTTCTTGAAGCTGTAAAAATATCATATATTATTATCAGTGGTACCATATAAAAGTGGGCAGATTGATTAGGTATGTAAAATAAATTACGTCGACAACGAAGTCGGTGTCTAAATATTTCAAAATTTAATCTCAACATGAACGAACTATGTAGGTAAATACAAGTCGGTACGGATCTCTCTTTTCACTTTCATGTTGATAGTAAATGTGTTGGCATGGAAATTCAAGTTATATATTTTTTCTTTAGTATAGACCAAATTGAAATAGATTTACTGAGGCAAAAGACAACGGCTGTACTTTCCGCCAACAATCAGTTTAAGCTATAGGTTTGCGACCCTGACTTACTCGATCTGTTGTTAAAACTCCATGGCCTTTCTCTGTTATTTACTTTTCCCTTTTAATATGTGTATTCACAATGTTAATTTTTAATGTGCCCGGTTGACGTAAATTGACCTTCTGTTGATTGATCTAAGTAAGAGAGTTAAAACTTGTTTGAAAAAAGAAAATTCGTTTCATTTTCGTGTGTTCACATGATGTCATGTTACAGAAATAGAAGAATAGCTAAGGCATGAGGGTGTGCCAAAGCTGGCTTGTACCTAGCTAGGAAAGAGCATTTACCTCTTCTCTATTTGCCTAACAAGCGTATTTATTACTAAAGTAGTTTTATCACCACATCATGTAGTCATTGTATGTTACAATTTATTTTGTATTGGGAATCATCTTTTTCAGGTTTTTAAGTTACAAGTGTATTTTTTTCTTATAACTACAGACTAGAACAGTATCTAATAATTGAGTATTGTTTATGAATATTTATATCATATCAAAAATATTTAGGTTCATTTTACCTACAAATAGTTGTTTTAAACAGGATTTCTGAAATTCGACAGACAATTAGTGAAAACCAAGTGTTGCCGATTCGTCTCAAAATAACAATCGACTTTATTTAAGAAGTTTTTGTAATATAAAACGTGTGTACATCGTCATTCATTTGTTCATTAGTAAAAGTAGGTACTTTGTCGACCAATTTTAGTACAACCAATTCACTAAAAAAATACTGACAGGTTTACAAATGGCAGAGAAGTCTTTTTGAAGTCATCATTGTCCTTAGTAAGAGATATGTGATCTTTTGGTTATTCTCATATCTCATACGAATATGAATACCTACTATTGAAGTATGAATACTGACTCATAACTCATACTGGCTATCTGCTTATTATATTTAATTGGTTTACATGAAATGATTCAGGCCTTTATACTTGGGACTTCAATCAAATGACGACATATACCCACAGTTTTTCTTAACTCAGTCACGTCAATTGAAAACCATACAAATCTTAGGCAGTTACATTTTGAAGCAAACCGTCAAACATTGTTTGTCTATTCACCTCTTTAGGAGACGGATTTAGTGAAAAACATTTTCCTTAGTAAAAGATTAAGATTAATAAAGTCTTAAATGTCAAATTAAATAACAAGTTAAAGAAAATCTTAACGAGGAAGGCCCAATGATTAAAAAAAATATGTTCTTCTTGAAGTTATTGCGATGTGGATAGTTTATTTTTTAAAAAAGCAAAGCGTTAGATAATGTTTTACTAGGGTACAATCGATAGCCCCGGTGAGGTCCCCCGTGAGGGTTTCAAAAGGTAAAATCAGAATGCGTCTTGAAACTACTACTTCTTGTACGTAAATTCAACGTCATAGTCAATATTTATATTTGTATACACACAAAATGTTTATAAATACTTATTTTGAAAAAAAAAACTTTGGTTCTATACTTCAATGTGATAATTATACTTTTGTTAAATCGTGATAAATTTTTAGAGACGTCTGAGTAAGCACGTCAAGGTGATTCATATGTTCATGACTTGCTTCGAAACCGTAACATAAGCCGCTAACTGACGTATATATGACGTACAACTCGTGAGGTGAATATTCAAAGGTTTTTTTTATATTTTCCAAAATAAGTTTATATATGCAATGATCGAGTTTTAGGAGACATAAAAATCATGTTTCTCTATTATGTGTACTATTTCATACATACATAGATAAATATTAGTGATAAATATGATTTTTCCCTCTTTTTTATATTCTATAAGCTAGGGTTTTTTTATTGTTCTCACAAAACGGTAGGTATAATTAAATACATCAGTAAACCTCTATAAGCCTCAACAAAAGTGTTGTCATGATCACGTTCTGAATTTTGTTGGTTTTCTTTTGTTTTTCTTTTTACTGGTCAACAATGGAAATGATACAAGAACAAATTACCATTGATTCGGAGCATTAAAGAACATTTATCGTTTTTATAAACTTCAATCAAGGTTTTGGCAATTGTTACTTTCGATTTTTTTAACTAAATAGTGTCTTGACATGACATGTTAAGAAACTATTCAGTTAGCACTATATAACTATTCAGATTTACATTTTTTTTTTTTTTTAATCTACCACATTCACACAACGCCATCTAGTCCCAAACTAAGCTGAGCTTGTGCTATGGGTACTAGACAACTGATATAAATACATATATACTTTTTTTTTTGTAAATACATAGGTACATATTATACATAGAAACACCCAGACCAAATCAAACATTAAATGTTCATGCACACAAACGTTTGACTTGAGCGGGAATCGAACCCGCGACCTTTGGAATAGCAGTCCGTTACACAAACCACCACGCCATCCGGTCGTCAAACATTGCATTGTATAGTCCATACGCACCACGCCCATGCCTGCACTGTCACAAGTAAATTCGTAAGTAATGTTTCTTAGGAGTAGTAGAAAACATCTAAACACACGTGTTGAATAAAGAATCTGGACTTAGCTACCAGCTTACCCCACCGGTAGTCGGTAGTGGGACATGAAGTGCCGTAAGATACGGAGCATTGAGTTCAGTAATATAAAGACAGCTACGATCGATACAAATCCAAAGTCGAAATCTCGCGCTGGCACTTTTTTTCATGTCATTTTTAGTTGATTAACCATTGCCGCCAACTGACAAGTGCCCGTGAGTTTGGTTTTCCTCAGGATTATATCATATCCTATAAAGAAACGTTTGCGCTAGTACGTAAGTATATACATTATAATAAAAAAACGAATGACGTGATATAAATATGTAGAAATAACTCAATTCGATCAAACATAAATCATGAACGATTTTACCCTTGATTAGTGTTTGATTAGTGAAACACTAAGACTGAGTTTAGCATTAGGCATTATACTATAAATTGCTTTTGAATATTTATTAATGTAATTAATGTATTTTGAAATTAAACAGGCAAGTATATGTATTGCCCTCAAAAAATACTTACTCTGCCTTGCTTAGTTACGTCACGTCTCTCTACATAAATAGTCAAGTTTTCCATTCCATAGAATAAATCGTCAAGTCAAGGGTAAAGTGCTTAGGTACTGTTTGAACGGAAGTCAAAATGGAAACTAATTTACCACTAGAGGACAATAATCTTACATAAGTCACTTGCGTATTAGATATTCGTTCACTAAAACACTTGAACAGAATTGTATAGTCTCCACAGTTGAATGCGTCAGCAAGGCACCGTAGCACCTTTATAGCATCAAATTGTTTTGCGTGAAGGCTTCATGCCTAATAAAATCTTTATTGTCTTTTATAGTTTCAAGGAGACATCGCAAATAGGCGATCTCCTCACCGAGTGCAGAACTATGATATAGAGACTACTATTAACATTTAAACAGTGTTAAAATTTCATCTTAATAGACAGCAGTATGGATGCGAACAGCATGAACAGGGTAAGCCTCGTGACTTCACGAGAGCACCGACGTACATGATGCACAAGTAATATACTCACTGAATAAGACGTTTCTATGTTAGTTCACTTTCTGATTCAATAAAACCAAATTTCAACTGCAACTTTGTTTGTAACTACGAGTAGTTTCTAATGCCTTTAGTTGCACTCCATGGTTTGACCTCTCGAAACGTTATAAGAGTATACCCTCCAATAAAAGAGCAGTAGGTAATAAATTAAAACACGGAATTTCGTGATAACTTAAACGATACTACTATTAAACCTGACCAAAAATGGCTGGCTCTTGAAAACTTTGGCATTGAACATCGCACTGTAATGAATCGGTTGAATTAGTTTCGTCTTCGAAACTTTTGTAATATTTTGTTTGAGATTAGTGTATTCGCTAACTTTGATGGCGGTTGGATGTAGACATGGATTAGGTATACAGTTCTTGCAAATAAGTGTTTATGAATATAAATAAGCAAACAAGCATGCGATGTTACGCCAAAGTTAAAGCAACATTCGCGAAATTTTATAATCTTTGCATGTAAATTTAAGAGCATTCGTTGACGTTTACTGTAATTTATTATAGCAAAATCACGCGATTCGGAATGTTGACTTCTGTCAAAGCAATCATAGATGAGCTTTGAAATCGATGCATTGTTTTTACTATTTTATAAAGTATACTCGTACCATGTACTAAACTTCATTCAATAGTTACCCTTACATTTTGATTTTTTGTTGTGTTTGAACCTAAATAAAGCTTAACTGTTAAATGAAAGCATAAAGGAAAAAAACATGCATTTCAAATGTGCAATTTTGAGTACAAAGAATCACTTTATATTTACAAACGCTATAAATTTTGAACAAAACTCAAATATACAAACGCGTAGCCAAAACGTGAATGTGCCACTCGTAAACTAGTTATTACGTATGAATTTTCCATGTATTCCAACATTTGCACTTATTCGTCCAACATTTATACTTGTATGCTTATTTATATCATTATATTTTAAAGAAAAACTACTGGCCATCGGCATAAAAGTAGAAAACCACTGAAACAGTAAAACTTAAATTAATGCAGATTTTTATACGCAACTATTTGCTGGATCCGGTTAGGTATGGTATGTATGTAAGCATTTTTCAACCGGCAATAGCTCGTTGACCCAGTAGCCAAGTTCGTGACAAATTGTATCTATCGGGACTCTGTTTTGCTTCGTTCGAGCGGTACAGCTGAAACCACGGAAAGGGGCACGGGAACTCGACATTAAAAAATACATCGTAAATTTCTGAATTCACAATGTTTAGTCTATAGATTCACTCTTGATTAGATTTAATTCCATGGTTTCCTTAGGTAAAAATGTGACATATTTGTGGCTCCCTTAGAGGTCAAGAGTCGAATGAAAATTATATCTACTTATAATGCCACGCCAGGTGTGCTTTTCAATTATTAAAGATATTTATATTTAGGATACTTAGTAGATTTTATTGCTGATTCAGTGTTAGTTTGTTTTCGTTGTGTCGGACCTGGCGATAGCACCGCTGTCTCCGTCCTGTACACGTCAGTTTTCGAGGTCAATCACTGTCCATTTGGCGAATATTGACAAATTTGTAAAATATTGAGTGTTTTTTTAACAATTTATTATTGATGCTATAACGTTTCTTTTGCGTGTAAAAACTAGTTTAGTTCATGTTATTCATATTAATACCTACAAAGTCCCTTTAACTCAATTTCGTTACTAATAAAACTTTCCTCCGCAATGACAGTAATTTATAAAAGTTGAAAAAGGACACCTATGATTTGATGTTGCAAGTATCTAATATTTTTTTTATTTTAATTTTACTACGTTTTACATTAATAGTAAATTATGTTTCTGAAGGGCCCGACGGAGAGTCGTTCTCCAAATTCTGGTTTGGATTCTTCAGTGTCATCCCAGCCGCCACCACCTGCAGGACGACCGCTGAATAGAGTTGATTCACGATCAGCTTTTCCAACGCAATCACCGAGACCACTTGTATCTCAGTCTCAAGTTAGACCTCAATTTCAACCTGGAGGGCCTGTAACACCACCATCACAATTCGCGCCGAGAGTAGGAGCTCCACCACCTCGAGGTCCACCTCCAGGTCCGCCAGGTGCTCAACAAATTCGACCTAATCCTGCTACACTGCGGCCTTTGGGACCCCAGTCTATTGCGCCTAATCAGGGTTTTAGGCCGGCACAAATACCACCAAACCAACCCATACAACGAACCCCTCCACCAACCAATCTACAGTTTGGTCCGAGACAGCCTACAGCTGGTACAGTTCTAACACCCGACGGCATCAAGACTCTACAGCCAAACGGAACCAATAAAAACGGAGCCGGACCTGTTCCAAGGCAGTCATCTCAGGGCTCTTTAAAGGGCTTTGACTCATCTAATTCTCATCAAACGAAACCAGTCAACCTGGATACTCAAAGTGTTGCAGGTGATAACCACAATGATACTAAATCTGAAAATGGAATGGAAGGACCAGGAGTGGCTAAAGGCAGAAGCTATAGTATTGCAGCTGCTCCAGGAGCTCCAAGTCCATTAAAAATTGACGATGATCGTCGTAAATCTGTCAGCGCTATAGGGAGCAAAATTGATGATTTCACTAGCCGCAGTCCTGGCTTGTCTTTAATACAAGAAAGTAAAATAAACAGCAATGAAAGTATCCGCGAATCAAAAGAAAGTATCAGGTCAGAAAAATCAAACGAAGGTGGAAAAGATGCTCCCGATCGTCCAGAATCACGTTTATCGAGTTCAAAAATGACAGAATCTTTTATAGATGTCCTTCCAAGTGCAGCCCCAATTCTAAAAAAGAAATTAGATGACAATGACGATGTAGTTTCCCACAATAATTTGTCATCAGGAAAAGTTGTCAACGATGCTCCGAAACTGAAGGAAGATTTATCCGATCGGTCACCATCTCTAACTCGGAGTGATGATTCTCCCGAACCTAAACTGAAACAATCACCAAGTTCTGCAATATCCAACAAACCTATTGGCGTAACTTCTGAAACTCAACAACCTAAAACTCCTAAGTTTGAGCAAAAATTTGATACAGGACTAGATAACCGTAAGGAAACGAATCCTACTGTAACACCGAATAAAATACTTACTTCGAAGTCTCCGGTAGTGGATGCTAAGCCACCCACTCCGGTGCAGAAAAAACCAAATGAATTGAACACAGCTATAGCTTCTTCAGATGTGAAGAAAAGTACACCGCGAAAAACTGCATCTGCCCCTAAATCACGTCCTAAAGGTAACTTGCGTATTTATAAAGTATAATAATTACTATATAATACTTCTTATTTGATATGAGCCAAACGTTGTGACTACATTGTACTTCAATGTATGGGAAATCAAGCTATGAAAATATTTGTACTTTTCAGATGGTGATAATGATAGTGGTGTTGATGAGTCTACCCAAGGCAATGTAAGTAAACGTAACATTTACATACTCGTACTATCATAAGATCTGGGGTTTCATGTAACTATTGCGATGATTACTTATGCTTCATTATTGTTTTATTTTTAACTTCATTTTACCAAAAGTTAAGAAATACCTACACAAAAACGATATTGAAACATTATTTCTGTTTAGGATGTTAACGGGTCTCCTGGGTCACCAAATAAGAAGATTCCTAGTAAATTACCTATGAAGGAAAAATCGAACAATAGCATAAAAACAAGCTTGTCAAGATCATCGAGCAAAAGTGCTACAGCGAAGACTCCTGAAAATCCACCATCAGCTGAAAAGAAAAGTTTGTAACTAATAGAAAAAAATACTGTACAATGTCATGCTACATGTATACACACATATATATACAGGCTGTCCTTGAAAATTGGGATTTGTTGTTACACTTATAGTACTTATCTTTGGCACTCAATTTTAAAAAGATTTTTGAGTTCCGTTTCAATTTTCAGATATTTTAGAGATTTCTCATACAAACAGGTAAAATGTGTAAAGTTAAAGATTTTAAATCGAACTAAAATTTTAATTCCAGAGAAGATTTCCATTAGAAAATCAATAAAAAACAATTTTGGAATACTTTTTGTGGATTTTCTCAATAATGGATTGAATAACCTTTCCATAATATAAAATAAAGTCACTTTTTTGTGTTGTACGCTTAGATCTTTTAAACTAAGCCACGGATTTTAATGTGGTTTTCACCAATAGAGAGTGATTCAAGAGACTCTTGATACATTGAACAATACAATACTACGTTACGTTACTATATGTACGTTATTTACGAAGCTATTTTAAACAATACATTATTATTCCTTATCCAATTAAATACGTTCGATACGTCGTGCATTCAATGTAGAGTTAAATTGCTTTTTACAGCATATCATTAAAATGAATTGAGATGAGAGGTTTAAAATGCGGGAGCCCAACGACCGTCGAGCAGTACGTCCGTCGCGGCAGAATCGGAGCGGGACCTATAAATATTGCTTATAAAGATGTTCTGTAGTATAGTCCTGTCATAATAATAGTATAATTAATAACTCACACTGACACCCCTTTAGTAGTTACAGTAGTAGTAGGCTCGCTAGTTCCAAAATAAAAACATAACTACCATTTAAAATCTTTGACGTAACACGTTTGCATCTGCTTTTATGAGAATCATAGCTGGTAATAATTGAAAATTGAAACGGTCATCTATACTAATACCTATTTTAAAGAGATAAAGTTTTTGAGTTTGTATGTTCGGGGTAATCTCCGGCAGTAATTAACTGATTTTCAAAATTCTGTTACTGTTAGAAAGGTAATCCCTGAGTACTATAGACTACGTTTTATTTTGGTAAATTTATATTTTCAATAATCACTTAATTACAATAAATCTAATTGAATTTGTCAAAAATTTAAAACATAGCATGAACGGTTTGAAATAGAGGAATGAAATCGATTTCTAAAATATTCATTACTTTTAGCTTAACATTTATCTAAGTTCAATATCTCAGTCAAAAAGAAAGTTTTATGTTAAAAGTAAAATAAATTTACAAGATTATGTTTAGACAAAGGTTTTACACGCACAAATTTGAATAAAAAGAAATTGCTAAATCAAAATGGAAATTTCATGGAGATAAAGTTTATTTTTACATTATGTTTATTAACGGAGTTACAATAGTCAGAAGATAATGCGAAATAAAAACAATAAGCCGGTAAAATTATTGCGTTGTCGCTGCCGCCCGCTGGCAAATGTGTTAAACAGTTTAAAGTAACACAAACAAATATTGCACCCGTGTGAAGCCGGAGCGGGTAGATAGTTAATTATAAACGAATAGTTTTTTTTGTACGTGTATGTTTGAAATAGGGAGTACTTCATGCACGTATATAAAAAACTTTAATTTAGCGATTTTAGTAAATCTTCAGTTAATTTGTACATCCGATATACATAGGTATATTTTTAAATAAAACTGTAACCTGTATTTTTTTAATAAAACTGTATTTAAACTAATATTACAGTCTTATATGGAAAATTTAATTTCAGAGGTGCCGATGAATAAAATTCAAGTCGGTAATGCCCCCTCACCTAATATTAAAACTGTGAAATCAAAAATTGGATCATTGGATAATGCAACTTACAAACCTGGCGGCGGGAAAGTTAAGATCGAGAACAGGAAAATAGAATTTGGAAACGTCACTCCTAAAATTGCTGCCAAAAATGATGCTTATACTCCAGGCGGTAGTGCTAAAAAGGTACTTAGAGATTAAGAACATGAGAAAGAAAAAAACTACAAAGGACATGAAAGTATTAAAAACATTATATTTCAGATTATAACTACAAAATTAGAGTGGAATGCCAAGTCAAAGATCGGGTCTCTTCAAAATGCTGCCTACAAGCCAGGAGGTGGTGATAAGAAAATAGAAACAGTAAAATTGGCCTTCAAAGAAAAAGCAAAACCGAAAGTTGCTTCAACAGTAAACATCACACATAAGCCTGGAGGAGGAGGTGTTAAGGTAACTTAATAATATATTCTCATTGAGAGAAAATAACAAACTTAATTAGGTGATAGGATTGCGGTTCTTAGGCTGTACAGTGGCTTATAAGAGTGCATCAAATGTGAGTATACTTTTAAATATTCATAGCACAGCCGATATATGTACGTATTCAAATTATAGTAGAACTATAAAGCACTAGGCGTAAACTTAATGACACTATCACTGACAACGTGTCGGTATGATACCTATGCGTTGTCAGTGTTACATCGGTACACGTATTTTAGAATCATTCGACGTAAAGTTAGACTGGAGTAGTGTAACTTAACTTTACTTAACTTTACTCAGGGAAATAAGTACAGTGTCGAAATTAATTTTATTCTTTTAGTCAACAGTTGCAATTGATGGAACGAAATCAGTGAGTAAAATTCTATACTTAAGTTTGTGTCAACACACTCACTTTTTTGCACATTTCGTCTTTGTACATTTATATTACCTTTAATTATAGGTTTGATATGCAGTTAAGCTGCTTCGGTGTTTGCAAATTTTAATGCCGAATAGAGACTAAAGAGTTTGATAAGACTAAGTAATATTATTATTTCTAGTTTGTAAAGTGGGCGTTGCCACGATGGAGGGCATCACATAAACATTTTGCTTACCACACTTTGTGGCATAAGGTTGGTGAGACGGTGCAGTTTCGGTTTCATCGTGATAGATTAATTGATATAGTCCGAATACTGTTTTCTTAAGATACTTGTAGGAGGGGCTGCGGCTGTTTTGTTCACGCTGAGTCTTTTGCTTTAAATTTATGTATATGTTTTAAGCGTACCCTTAAATAACGTACTTAAAATAATTATTAAACCGTTTTGTGTAAAAATAAATGTCAATGGTTGTAGTATGAACGTGTTCACATTTGCAAGTTTTACTTTTTACACGAAAAATGCCAAAAATCTGTCGACATAAAATGATTTGATTTAAATTATATAAAGCGGTAGGTACGTGCATATGTTTTGTTAACCGTGTCCACGCGACCTACACGAATATCATCGACAAGCACGCCATGGAAATCAATAACGATTATGCATTGTACTAGAAAGAAACTGTAGCAAATATACACTCTTACATACATACATACGCCATGTTAAATCGTTTGTTTATGAAACTATAACTTAGCAACAGCACTCACAATATGCCGATATTTTATTGTGTTTATTAGTTTATGTATATATTATGGTTCCGTAGATTTTTGAGACAAGTTCCGATTTTATTGATATACCTATAATTCAGAGAACACAAGGCAAAAAAGAATTGTCATTTTACTTAAAACGTTGCCGCGTTGTTATATCTTCGTCTACCTAATAAACTATTCGATTGCTTGATAGGTACTTTGTATAAAATTGCACAGAAAGCTGGGATTTTTACTCTCATAACTGTTAACCACAATGACAACTGAGATTTACATTTGTCAATAAAATGTGTTCCTATACTGCCATTATTTATGAGATATCAACTAGAGCGTTGCTCTTTATTAAATAAAAAGCAATCTTTTTTCTTATCGCTTGTTCAAATATACGTATTATGTATATTTACACAATATTACATAAAAAATATACTATTACGAGTATTATTTACCCCTTTATTGTAAATATTTTGCAGTGCTTTGTTTTTACTTTTTATAAAACATTTTAGTATTAAATAATAGTTTAACAGACAGAGTGTTTACAATATGATTTATCGGCCACAATATTAGTTTTTATTCATTTAAATTTTGCACTCCTTAATCTGCGGAACCTATAGGTTGCAAGGTATATATTATTATTATGTGCACAATAACTTTTTGAAACAGATCGAAAACCAAAAATTGGATTTCAAAGCACAAAGTAAAGTGGGGTCAATGGATAACGTAAAACATAAACCTGGAGGTGGTGACATCAAAATTTTTGACGATAAAGAGTACATCAAGCAGCTGAGCGGACAGTCCCCGGTGCCCGATAATCACGGCCACTCACGGCAGGAGGTAAGGCCATTTCTAGCCGTTGGGCTGTTTACATTTATCTCTCGATTCTGCTTCCTTTTTTTATTTCCGTGTAAGGCTACATTCGCATATTTCCATTTTTGTTTCAGCCTGAATATTTATACACATTTTATTAATTAGGTAACTTTTGCAAGGATTTGGTTCATTAGCTAACATGCATTTTTCTTTTCTTTTTTGTGTTTTAACCAGCGTATTATTCAATATGTTTGCTTGTTTTTTTATAATTCAAATGATAGTATTTATCCCCATGAACAATCTACCAATATATATTTTGTTTACCGTAGAGCCCAGCACCACCGGCAACGGAAGCTCCAAAGTCGGATGAGAATTTGAATCAGCAGCAATGTTAAGAGGTCGCACGAAGATACCTCAGGTTCTTAGCGAACAATATTTTTTATAATCAAGAGCCCAAAAATATTGTATAACATTTTGTATCAATTTAAGTTTAATCGATTCGATACCCAGTTTAAGTGATTAATGAAAGGTACGTTTGTTTTCATAAATTGGATTTATGAATCTGTAAATCGATGTCAATGATTTATAGCATATCTTTTCGGACAATATGTTGAGTGTGTTAACAATGTTACATATAATTGTTTAACTTGTTATGTGAAGCTTATAATAAATTTGAATGTTGTATTTGTAGCATAATAGTTGATGAATATTTTTATGAAGTGATCCTTTTATCCGTTTTAATGATCCGAGTGATGTTAGAGTTTATTGAGTGCCAATTCATAGTAGTTCTGTAGACCATAATTACATTTCCGTCGATTCAGTAATATTGTCAGTACATATAGCTTTCACTTAAACATTGTAATTATTGTTAGAGCAAGCATGTTTTTCGTAGTCCATATTTTAAATATTGCTTAATAATCGATTTTCAAATCTTACGCCATTTGAAATTCATTTCATTAGCAAATCACTAATATGAACTTTCTATAATAAAATGTGTTAGTAAAGTATTGGTATTAAAATATATATACCTATTATATATATAACTACATACAACTGTTCGTATTTATTTGTACTACTTAGATATACATATTATGTAGGCTTTGTTATCACTCTGTGTTTTTGTTATTTCCGTATTTTTATGCACTGAATATTACAATTGTATTATACTTTGGTGTGTTATCGAGGAGGTGTTCTTGTCACAGCATTATGGATTAAAAGTAAAACAGATTTCTCAACATTTACTAGTTTTACAATGTTAGTATTGCTAATTGAAAGGATTTTTTTGTACAAATCTTGTCACAAAATATTAAATTTTTATATTTGGTCCCTGCTGTGGCCAGTACAAGCGCGGGTACAAGATTGACTGAGCAGATTATTATAAAATTTTTATATGTGTATAATTATGAGTATAAGAAATATTTAGGTTTAGATAGCGTGTATTAATTAAATGTGTATTAATTAAAGCTTGATCACAATTTTTTTTTTGCATACTCAGTTTATCTTAATATAGATGTTCTGCATTTTGTTTTTATATTTCAAATCATAAAACTCTTTTCACGCAAGCTTTTTAAAGTAAAGGTTTAATAATAAGTTATAACTAAACTAAAGCAGCTACTTGCCTGTAGTTAGCAACTTACCCCCCGACTTCTAGAAGATTTTACGAAAGCGAAGGACGTATTGTATACCTACTTAGGTAATTGTTTAATACAGTTTAACACTAAAACTTGGTTTCATTTGATAGTATAGTTCTCACTAGTCACCAGACAGCGTGTAGTGTCTGTGTGTGTTAAATGTAGTCAGTTACATTACAGCCATTCATTCACCCTGCACAATCATAGTTTGAGAGAACCATATACCTGCCGGACTGTTGGTAAGTAATTTATTTTCTATTTCTCAATTTATAGCAATATAACTATACTTTTATTTAGTTCAATACTTATCCTAGATGATTTACCATGGGTAACAAACTGTAGTTGCTTGGTAATGGTAAATAAGTTTCCTTGTTATTCTTCAATATCTTGTAATTATTGTTATCAAATCTCTTACAAATACGAGCTGTTGGAGGCCCAGTACGTAGATACTTTTTGTAACTGATTTTGTGGCGGAAAAAGTCGTAATCTGTTATCAGCACCAAGATTCGCCATGAAATAGGGCCTGGGGTATTTTATGGTATAAGGGAGCAAACGAGGAGATGGGTCACCTGATTGTAAGCGACTACCACCGGTCATGGATATCTGCAACTCAGGAGACACAGATTGCGTTTCCGAGCGAAGTAATACCGAAGTTTCTTAAACAGTACTGGCACATTTGGTACTTGTACATTTTGGTTTCATATTTGTCTAATTTCTTTAAATACTGTGGCCATCAAGCTGAGTAATAAATACGTAAATAAATTAAAATATTTATAACATTGTTTTGTCATTATGAAAATTGCTCCATAACTATTGGGCAATTTGATAATCAAGGTATTATATTAGGTACATGCCAGTTTTCTATTTACTCGTAGTTTATAATTACAAGAAAAGGGTAAAAAAGATTAGTATCTCGAATTGTAAAATAGTATTTGTAATAGTATTTTCAAGTTATCATGAAAACTATTAATTAACATATTTATGTTTATTACCTTGCCTAGTAGGTAAGGGACAATATTCATACCGTCAATCAGACAATTTGTTAATTTTATAATATTTAGTCGTTCGTCGTATCGTTTTCATAATATTGCCCATTCGCAGTGGACATTTTAAAACTTATTATTCACTTGGTTCCATACCTTGCACAACCTTGTCACTTTTCCTAGGATAAGTTTTGATACAGTGCAAATGTTACTATAAAATTATTATTGTTTGTTTTTGTGGTATAGTGGGCAAACGAGGTGGTGGGTCACATGATGGTAAGCGACTATCTCCGCCCATGGACACCTGCAATCTCAACAGTTACAGATTGCGTTGCAGGCCTTTGAGCCCCTTCCTCAGAATAAGGGATTGAGTGAAGAGCCAAACCCTCCCCGGTTGGGCTCCTCACTCAATCAGTGAAAAGCAACGAAAAAATTGTGAGATTATCTTCGGCAAATCACTTCACTTTCCTAAAAGAACATTAACTTAGCCTTAACTTAACCCAAGCAATTTAAACAATAAATATTGGGATTTTTCAATCCTGAATTCTATAACTTCATTGACATTTATACATATTATTTATACAGGATCACCATTACATGTCCGTCCACGAATGGACTGAGGAGGACCGTCCGAAGTCCCGGTGCTTGTCTGCCAGAGCTCCGCGCACACCTCGCACACTATCACCACGGCGCAAGGTTCACGCAGTGGATGAAGAAGATATTATGGTGCAGAGAAATAACGAAAGGAACCGTCGCAAATCCGTGGCTCGGCCCATGAGTGCTCGTGAGCCTCCGCTCTCTGCCTGCTCTCGGCGAACTTCGCTCACTCAACGTCCAGCTTTCTCTATATATTGATGAGTTAGTCGCAAAAAGATTCTGTGTCGTAGTGAAATGTAGAAGATCATTATCGTTTAGGGATACACTTAAAGCTATTTGATTACAATAAATGTGGAAGTAATCATAGCTATATAAAAAAGTCAGGCACAAAAATATAATAGAAGCACTAAGTGCACAAGTGTTAGCAAGAGAGTACTGGTCCTTAGTACCTACGTAGAGTTGGATATGTGTTAGTTTCTATAATATATCACATTCTGTAGTTTTTGTAGGAAGGATTTCATATATTTAAATATTCTATGGAGGCTCACCTCGATTATATTCAGGAGGAAAGTAAAGTTTACTTGAACTTGATTCGAAATTCGAATATGATCTGTCTCAAGTTATTGAAATCCTCGAGAAGTCTTCTAACTAATCTAAATGATTGTGTGAAGAATGGGTTCAGGTCGGTAAATAATCAACCACAACCTGGTCTGAGCCTTACGCTACCTCCGCTACAAATGTGCGGAAACGTGTTATAATTACCTTTAATGTGCAACTGCATTGGTTTTGATGTGTTAGCGCCACTAGGGTCATTTATTATGCGAAACATTGCATTTCATAATAAACTTTAGAATTCATTTCTGAAAGTCAAGATCAACCTCCAACAATTCAGTGTGCAAATCACTGTCTACTCCTGTATTTTGCATTGCCTGGGTTTAAATACTTATGTTCTCATGTCAGAATTTTTTAAATGAGGCAAAGAGAGCACACACGTCGAAACCGGTCCCATAAAATAGTAGTAAATGTGACTAGTGTGAGCTATATACGAGTAATAAAATTATTCTAGCTTTTAAATTACTTTAAATATTTCCCAGGTATTTTAGTTGTGAAATATTTTATTTAAGGCCCAAGTAGCTCCTAAAAATACCTTGGAATTAAGTAGCTGAGCATTGAAACATAGTTTTAGGTTCTCTTTAAAAAAAATATGTGTATGGATCACTGTAACGTGTAATACAGTTTACGCTGCATTCAAAAGAATAACATGTAGATCACACCTTCGTTCGTTTCTAAAAAAATACTAGATTTGCTAAATGTCTTCTGAAATAAATACTTGTTTAGAATTCGCATCGAGTAATTTAGATTCTATTTTGTTGCTATTTTTGTTGTTGAATATTTCAAATGTAATGATGTTAACAGTAATTAGGTTTTTTACTTTAACCGTCACAACGTCATTAAGTAATTCTGTATCACATTTAAAACAACTGTGCTAGCCATTTGTACACGGGCTAATCGCTGCCTGATACGTTATGACGTCATCAGTAAAAATCACGTCAGTGGTTTCGATGTCTCACACAGCTGTGATTGATTGTGCAATATACTTATAAGTACGATAAACTTTGTTCAGCAGTACGTCAAATAACCCCATTTAAAAAAAGACATAGTATATAATGAAATGCAATTCAGTAACGAAAGTTGCTGGGAGATGTTTAACTCTGCTTGTTTAGGTACAAGCTCGCCACATTGGTACACATGACGACAGTTGGTACCTTTGTACCGTAATTAACTTACTTATCTGTTTACGGCTATCGAGATTGCCTCTTTGTGGAGCCAAGCCATATGTCTAATACCTACGTGAATTTGTTGTATGTAGTAGTTGCCGTAACACAAATAAATGTTAAAACCTTTACTATTAAACTGTTAGCATGCAGAGTACTGCTTAGTCATTGTGTATTTACCAGATTATTTATTGTTGATTAAAGATTTCACCTGATAAGGAATTTTATTTTTTACCTGTTAAGTAAACTGTACTGTTATTTTCTTACTATGGCGAAGAAAACAAGAATTCAAAGCAAGAGAAATCAAGCTAAATAAGTCGGCAAGTATTGTTGCTTAGGAATGATCTAGTATTGTTTAATGCCATAAATATAATTAAGTATAGATATTATTCATGAGATAATTTTAGATAAAATAGCCTGTTGTTTGAGATGCCACAGTCCAGACTCGACCTGTACCTACATATAGTCTTTAAAAGAGATAAAGACATCAGTCCTTTTTTGTTTACGCAAATACCTACGTTTACTAAACACAAAAGAGACGTGGGTATGGTAATGCCAATCCAAACCTTTGAGTGGGTTCGTGAGAATCGAAATAATTGTTTTTGTTTAATTCATGTATTCTTTTTTGTACACTATACATGAGGAGGAACACAGAAGGAAATGTAATGTACAAAGGCTAGCTTGCCCAAAATTGAGTTCTTTTACCAGTGCATCTGGAGAGTGAATAGTAGATTAGATATCAGTGTCATATCGAGAAGTAGATTTCTGCATCCAGCGTTTAATCCAGCTGACTAACGTGAATGTCCGTTTTTATTGAGGAGCCAAAAAAAAATGTCGCCTCAATCCTCGATTTTGTAGTTTTTTTTTTGTTGTCTTTATTTATGGAGCTTGGCTACAATTGGACGAGGTGGCGAAACTCTTTGAGAGAGTTATTGCCGCCCGTATCAACCAGCACCTATCGCGAGTGGGCCCCGACTTATCACACAACCAATTTGGCTTTCGACGCTCGACGCTGGACGCGATCGAACCCTTTGGGCAACGTTTGCCTAATCTGGGTGAACCCAGCGTCGCAACGAGACGGCTTTACACAGGGGTTGTCCGGCCGTCATACGCTCCATGGCCGGCAGTGCCAGACAGTGATGCGAAGACGTCATTTTGCAGAAGAAGGCGGCGGAGAGAGCCCGAGAGGACAACCACCACTCGGACCCAATTCGTCCGTCGGCCGGGAACCGGGCGGCGGAGGCGCGCTAATCACCGCCTCATACCGCCTGAGTGTGGCCGCGGGTGGACGGGACGGGTTTTTCCCTCCACCTGCCATAATGGCAAGCTGCGAGGAGGTAACGTCCGCGTGTGCGTCGTCTAAATATAGAACGTACCCGAAGATGGTGCCCGCGCCATTGATTCCAGGCGCTAGGAGGGGGGGAGAGATCCGGGAACTACCATTGTTAAGACATCCTGACAGGTCTTAATAATAGTAGTTCCCCTCTCCTATTACAGGTGCAGAGTGGCACACCGTGTGGTTTTAGTCAGTCCGATTCCGACACACCACCCCGCCGTAAACCGCCGTCACCGGTGGGGTGACGGCCCGAGGGGGTTTCCACATGTAAAAAAGAAAAATTACGATAATGACGATACTCTAGTACTGGCTGGGAGGCATGGCTTCCTAAAACAACGGCGGTCTGGGACTAAGCGTGGCACCACATAAAATGGAAGCCTTGTGGTTCCACAGGAAATGCAGAGGAGCTGTTCCCACCCGTTCACTTATTAGAGTGGGGGGAGCAGATGTCGAGATCGGCCAACATACTAAATAAATTGGCCTCACCCTAGACCGCGAGAAAGCTTTCGAGCGGATGATCCCCCGAGTTCGTGGGGTGGCGGGCTCCCTACAGAGGCTGTTGCCTAAGCTAGGGGGTCCGCGGGAGGAAGTTCGCCGCCTCTACTGTGCGGTGATACCATTAATGGCCCTCTACGGAGAGCCGATATGGACCAAGCGCCTTTAGGTCTCCTCCCGCTGCCGAACTAAGATCAATCAAGAGCAGCGGGTACCGCACTATTTGGTCGGAGGCGGCGACAGTCCTGGCACGTTTCCCGCTCTTTAATGTCCTGGCGGATATGGACGCGTGGGTCTATGACCAGACTCGATCGACTCGATCCGCTGGGGTGAGAGCGTGGAAGGCCAGGACGACCTCGAATAACGGGGGAAAGCTCACCAACAGGCACGGGTGCAGTGGCAGCGGAAGAATGCACGCCAACGCCCTGTCGGTGCTGTTCTGCCTAACTTTGAAGCTTGGGTAGGTCGCGTCATCTACCGACTGACGCAGGTACTCACTGGGCATGGTTGCTTAGGTGAGTACCTGAATCGTATCGGACGCGAGGAGGCACAATACCAGCACTGCGCAGCCGACTGGGATCCCGCTTAGCACACGCTGGAAGACTGCACCGCATGTCCTGCCCTGTCTGAACGCGAAGTCCAGGTCGACCAAATCGCACGAGACCCGTCAGCAGTCATTGCTGCTATGCTGGCGGGTGAGGGGGGATGGAGCGTAGTTGTCTTTTTCTGTGAATCTGTAATGCTCTAGAAAGAGACCGGTGAACGGGATCGGGAGAAGGCCGATCCCGAGCGTAGAGGACGTCGGTGACGATACCACCCGCCGTCGGGGCCGCGGGCCGCCAGAGAGTGGGGACCTCTGGTGGCTGATTGAATGCTGCGGTAGGGGATAGGATGGCGGCCTGATTCCATTTAGACGCAATTGGGCCGCCACGTCGCGGGGGGTAAGTGTTTTTTCCCGTTGGATAGGGCCTGATTAGGCATGGTGTCAATTCGGGGAAGACCTGAAATTACATGGTCCGGGTCCTCCCAGAGTAGGGCACCTGAGGCCGGCCTTTTTAGTGGAACCACCACAACCTCCTGGCTCCTGGTCTGGAACAGGAGATCCGAAGGAATTTTCCACCCCGTCAACACAAAGAAACAAGAGTCGTTTTAGTAGTATCTACATTGCACCCGTGCAAAGCCGGGGCGGATCGCTAGTAAATTATATATGTGGCTCCTCAGACCACACATACGACTATAATTCTTCAAAGAAGCAGTCTTTCGTTTAGTAGTAAGTATAATATATTAAATTTGTAGTGTAAAGAGTCAGTTATTAAAAATGAGTGAATTGGGAGATATGACACATTTTAACTGGCTCCTCAGTTAAGATGCTTCGGTAAATAGATTTGACTCTAATAAACTTATACTTGTGACGTAATTTGGAACATAAAACATCTATATTTTTTTGTATGGTGTCCATGAATAACTTATATAAAGAGCATTTTTTCGTTCCGTTTTGTACACAAATCTATTTTATTTTATTTCATCTGTATTTCATTCATCTGTAAATGTAAAATTCATCAAAGCACCGTGACAAAACACAAACAAATATTAATTAATTGTATAACTTATATCCAAATTAATTAATAAATACTTTTAACTAAAGAATTTGA